ATGCAGCATGTGCCCTTTGGGGTCAGATTCTAGCACCAGCTAAAGCAGCAGCCACGGTTGAAGCAGAGAAGCAGAGACCTGATACGAGATGGAGCTGATGTTGAGACTGCTACGCCAAAGAGAAACCAGAGCTTAAACTTTTCTTAAGTTTGTTGGAAGAGTGGAGAGGAGATTAATAGTTTGTTTTATGTTTTGTCGAGTTGCTTATGAATTATAATGACCCTATGAACAACAGCTCTGAACCCATCTCTATCCTGAGCTAATCTCACAGTCTCTAATACACCTGCCCCCATTACCCCAGTCACAGTGTCAATCCATCTCTTCCAGGGTCTTCTTGTCCTACCTGACCTTTAACGCTTGCAAGCATGATGTCCTTCTCCCAAGACTGGTCCTTCCTGGCAACATGCCCAAAGTATGTGTGAAATGGAGCCTGAAAATCCTTGCCTCCATTGAGCAACCTGTCTTTAACCCTGTGACAAATGTGTTTCTTCTCTTGGCAGTCCATGGTATGTTCAATACTCTTCTCTAGCACCAGAACTCAAAGGCATAAATTTGTCTTCTGTCATGCATCAATTCGTCTTCTGTCATCCTTAGTCATTGGCCACTGAAGACCATGGCCTGGATCAGGCGTACCTTAGACTCTAGAGTAACATCATTGCTTTTGGCACTCTGGAGGAGTCCCTGACAGCCTACTTTGCCAATGCAACTCATCTTTTGATATTCTGACTACTGGTGCCAAGAGTGCTGATTGTGGATCTGAGCAAGATGAAATTGTTAACAATCTTGGTCTCTTCTCCAGCTATCATGGTGCTGTCAACTGGCCCAGTGCTGAGAATCTTTGTTTTTTTGATGTTGAGCTTGAGTCCAAACACTTCAGGTCCTCCTCAGTTTCAGCAAGCAAAGGTGTGTCCTCTGCATAATACAAATTGTTGATGAGTCTTCCTCCAAGTCTGATGTCACATTCCTGCTTATAAATACCAGCTTCCCAAATGATTGGATCTGCATATTGTTTTTTTTTTAAAAATTGTATAATGAAAAAATTGTATAATGGTTAGCGCACAAATAAATCATTGATTATACAAAATTCTATCATTCTATCTCCAGCTTCATTTTAGTAATGAAATACTTATTTTTTTGACTTCTGATCCTTCTTCCTTGTTCCCAACTTTTAAAAAATTTTATTCTTTTTGTGCATGTACTGTCAAATCAGATCTGACTGGTACAAGGGGAGATTGTCCCTCCTTCTCCAGCAGAGCATCTGGTGGATTCGAACCACACCCCTCTGGGATTGCAGTGCAGCTTCCTGCCACTAGGCCACGAGAGCTTCCTCTTGTTCCCAACTTTTGCATTCTAATCACCAATTATCATTAATGAATCTTGGTTGCATATTCAATCAATTTCCAATTGTAAAAGTTGGTAGACATCTTCCATTTCCTCTTCTTTAGCTCTAGTTCTTGGTACATATATTAGAGTGATAGTGGTATTGATAGGTCTTCCTTGTATGCATGTGTAATACAATACTATATTTCAGGATGGATCTAGAAATGGTCTTTTTTATGATGATATGACCCCATTTTCCCTACTTTTCCATTTCATTTCATAGTAGATCATATGATTGATTGTCTGATTATAAATGGCCCATGCCAATCCATCTCAGCTCACCAAAGCCTAATATTTTCGTATTTATTAATTTCATTTCTTCTTGAACAAAGTCCAATTTTCCTACATTCATACTTCTCACATTCCATATTCCAATCACTAGTGTCTGCTTGAGCTTGTGTTCCTCATTGGTTTTTCACAATTAGAGGGCTCAGACTCCAATGCCATAATTACTAGTCTAGGTATTTTCTGTTTTTCATAGCATTTTTGAAGACCTGTTATTTCAGAAGCGGATGACCAATCATTTTTCCTAGTCTTAGTTTGGAAGCTCAGCTTTGGTATAATATCTGACAAACAAGCATTTTACCCCAAAGAGTAGGAAAAAGACACTACCACATCACACAACTATAGATTCAGTGTTGGACCCCCCCACCCCCCCGTCAGCACATGGGTTGTGGTCCTGTCCCCATGCCCTTCCTCACCAGCAACTGCCTCTGTCTCCTTGCCTTACCTAATCAGCACCTCCTCCCTCCTGCACCCAACAACCCCTGATATGATGACCCTGATATGACTGCTACCCCATCGAGGAACCAGAGCTGAGGGCCTTTGCCCAAGTTCATTGGAATACTGGGGAGGAGAGTCTTGATTGGCAGGGCTGAGAACTTTGTAACGCTTGTCTAAAGCCTCGAGGCTTAGGTGCCTGTAAGCACATTTCAGAAGCTGTCCTAAGTGATTGTATCTGCTACCAACCTGAATTATAGCCTCTGAATTCCCTAATAGGATTCTGTGTGGTCTGTGAGCTACCATAAAGGATTTTAGACCCAGCAGAGCAGTAAGATCGGTGTTACGGAAAGTAGAAAGAGGTGCGGGAGCATGAGGGACATGTCTGATTGTGGGAGCCGTCAGTGGGGCAGTTCCCCATGTGGAGTTGGTAGGAGTCAGATATGGCCATTCTCACACTTCCCTTGCTCTTTTTACAAACAATATGTGCTATGGAGAAAAAGAAAGTACAAAAGGGGGGCCCAGAAGTATGAAGGATATTGCAGGTTTGTGATAGTGACACTGAAATAAAGACTTAAAGCAGATGAGGCACAAGAGGAAGAATTTCTCAGATCAAAGACAATGCCATACTGAGGCCCAGAATGGGAGCATGCTGACACTGGGCCAGGAAGCAATTACTTATCAGGCCTTTCTGCCTATGTGTGAAGAAAAGATTCTGAAAGGGAAGCAAGGAGAGTGATGAGAAAGCAGATGAGAAATAGAAGCAGCTGTGGTAGGTGGTTAATGTACAGACAATGCAGGTGGATGGTCAGATACTGGACACATCATACGTGGAAGAGAGAGCCAACAAGATTTGCTGGTCAATTGGATGTGGGATATGAGAGAAAGCAAGGAGTCAAGGATGACTACAGTGGTTTTGGCTTATACAGCTAGAAAAAAAATGGAACTATTATTTGCAGAGATGAAGAAGGAGGCAGGAGGACAGGCTGGAGGAAGGACACAGTTGGGTTTTGAGAATGCTGCACTGAGTTTGGGGTGTCAATTAGAGATTCAGTAGAGATCTTAAAAAAGAAAGATAAGCAAGTTTGAAGTTAAGGGGAAAACAAGGTTATTGACACAGTTAAGTGTTGGACTGCTAACAGAAAGGATAGCAGCTGAAGTTCACCAAAAGTTATCTTAGGAATATGATCTACTTTTAAAACCAACAGTCATTGAGCACCCTAGGAAACACAGTTCTACTCTGCTAAACATGATCAGAATTGACTTAACAGCAGCTAGTTTGTGTTTTTTTTAACCCCTCTCATCTTTGTGACACATAATTAATACCGAGAGTCTTTGGTCCTCAAAATTCTGAGATTAGAAGAGCTCATCAAGCAGAGTGAGGTTAGATGAGTGAGGTTAGAGGAGAGAGCAAGCCTGGGGCAGAATAACCCAGCACCAGGCAATTCAAACCTGAGCAAAGAGGGGATCTCAGAAAGGTGAGTTCTGAGGAGGACCTGGCATAAGGTGGCCCGAAAGCCAAGAACTATTACACAGTCATTAAAATAGAATATTTCCCAAGGAATATTTAACATTGTAGGATAATGCTCACAATCGGTCAAGTGGTGGTGGAGTAAGGAAGCAGTTTATGGAGTATGATGCTAAAAAGAATTTTCTCTAAATGATGGTGGTAAAAGATTATTTTTCTTTTTTCCTCTGAAGCTATGTGTGCATTCTCTATGTCAACACCAAAGATGTGCTATTTTTTAATTAAAAAAGAGAGAAACAGACTTAGGTAGGTATATTTGAAAAGAATGGAAAGTGACTTTTGCTGTTTAGATGGTGCTGTCCTTAGGTACCTCTGAGTCGACTATGACTCTGTGAGCAACAGATCTGAACTTTCCCCTATCCTGTGCCATCCTCATGAGCTCTGGTATGTCAGAGCCCACTTTTATAGTCACTGTGTCAAACCAAAATGGATTTGAGCATATCAGAGATCATATGGACGGCACAGGATACAGCAAGGGTCAGATCTGTTGTTCACAGGGTTGCTGTAAGTCATAGTTGACTTTATGGCACTTAACAACAACCATGGACTGTTAGGAGAACAAACACATTCTTCCTAGAAAGGGTGAAACCAGGCTGCTCCTTGGAGGCAAGGATTCTGAGGCTTCATCTGATATACTCTGGGCATGGTACACATGTTGCAAGGAGTGACCAGGTCTTGAAAAGGGACATCATGCTTGGGAGGTTGGAGGGACAGCACAGGACAGGAAGATCCTTGATGAAATGGACTGATTCAGTGACAGGGCTAATAAAGGCAGGTGTGCCGGAGACAATAAGGTTGGCACAGGATAGAGCCGGTTTCAGGGCTATTGTACATAGGGTCACTATGAGTCGCAAGAGACTCAACGGCTCATAACAACAACACTCTCTGAAGAGCAAGTTACCCCTCAATATTTTCAAATATTCTTACATAAGTTTGAACTCCAGCCTATTTTTACCTTGAACAAGTGCCTACAAAAGAGGCCTCCAGGGTGGATGTCATGGAAGAGGGCCCTTCTTTCCCACCCTAGGCAGCTTCCAGATGGTCAACAGCAGTGTCTGTGGTGAGGTTTGTCAGGTAAAAACTAAAGGCTGCTGGGGTTGAGGTGGAAGTCCTGTTGCAGATGATAGCACTGAGAAGTTATTGTCAATGAGGATAATGTTAAAATTGACTACTAATCACAGTAATCGTAAAATGTATTAACAATTTAAGATTATTTAATAACATCTTAGATTAAAAAATCCTGGGGTTTGTGTAGATGCTAAAGGCAGCGTTATTTTAGGACCTGAAGAGCCTACCAGCCATGTCTCTGGGACAGCTTGCAGGCTCACAATCCTTGGCATGGCATGGACTGACAGACAGATAGAAGAGCAGCTTCATTAAAAAACAATTTATTAGCATTTATACCACTAACTGCAAGTGAAGATCACCTCCCTCCCCAGGTGCCACAACGTCCCCACCTGAACTCCTTCGGAGCCATTCTGTGGGGGGGCCCCTTCTTTGGGGCAGTGTCCTTCTCATCTGACTCCAGTTCCATCACTCCTGATCGAAGGGCTAAGCCCCACCTCGAGATGCCATAGGGATGGTCTCCCCTGATCCACTGTCTCCTCTGGCCTCTGAGAAGTTCCTGCCTCCAGCAGCTGGGGCCACATCCACCTGGATGACACCGTGCACCTGGGAGAGCTGCGGGCTGTCCAAGCTGGCGATGAGCTGGCGGGGGCCCGGTCGCACAGGCACGAACGTCTGACGCAGTGTCACTGTCTCATTGCCCCCGATGTCCCTGAGGGAAGAGACAGAGTCACGAGTCTGCAGTAACGAGTGGGAAGTTAAAGTGGATCTTGGGCAGTCTGAGAGGAAGAAACGGGGTGGAGGCATTTCTGGACTCAGCTGGAATCTCCACACCCATGACCAGGAAAAAACATGAGACCAGGACAGGCTCCAAAAAGCCAGCTTGGCAGCCACCCACCCAAGATGGAAATCTCCCTGTCATCTGGGATCCTCCCTCCCTGCTCTCATTCCAACTGCACTAACATTGTGGAGGCCACCTGTCCACCCTCACTCCTGCCCCTGCCCCAGCCAGTCTTCCCCATGTCTCCGGAGGGCTGTGAAGACAAAGGAAACTTTAAAGTGAGACTTTGGAGCCCAACACAATATTGCCAAGTCTTTTCAATTTTTCCGAAGGAAGAAAGTTTGTGAAAAACGATTATCTTTTACTATTACCACTACTCCAAAGAAGAAAAGCATATTTTAATGTATAAAGATATTGAGATAATGTTATCTTAGAAAAAAAGAAAAGTCCTTCTCAAGAACAGATGGCAACTTTAATTGTGTGGAGGTGTGACAGACAATTAAACATACTCATGTATTACAGTATCTATTTCTCCCCTTTTTCATAGACTTATGAAAAATCTAATCCAAAACCACCCCTCTTGGAAATAATTTCACGAGCCTTTAATTTGCTTTTTGCCTTCCAGTTCATGTTTGCAATCTGTTTTCCTAACTGCTCACAGGTGAACTAAATCCTTCACAGGCTTGGCTTCCTTAGTGTTTCTAAAGTGAGGTCTTAATCTGACACACTGGCTCACTCTGACTCAGCCCTGCCTACCTGCACAGCCAACATCCTTCCTCTCCCTTCAGCCTCAATGAACTGCTTCCCTTTCCCCTCACTCACCTACACATTTCATTCACTGCAGTATCTGCCTGACATGGAATGAGCCCCCAGCGCTCCCTTCCCGGCTTCTACCACAGCCCGAGTGAGAACACCCCAGTCCTTCCCTCAGCTCCGTCGGCGAGTTCTGCTTGCACTTCATACACCTGACTGCATTTATACCACAAAGCTCTTAACCAGCCAGAGTCTATCCTTTCTCATCTTTTCCTAAGCTCTCACCTCCAGACTATTTTATTTGACTCAAATCTACCTTGAGGACCCTTCCTGGTCCCAGACCCCAGGCAGATACCTAGGTCTCCACGTGAATGCTCAATATCTCCAGCTCGTTCCAGGGAAAAGCTCTCCTCTTGGCACTGCATCTGGCCCAGAGCTTGCCTCCCTTAACTGCTCTGAACTCCTTCTACTACCTATTAGCTTTGTAGTTTATGACAAGCCACTTAACTTCTCTGGTACATAAGATGGAAATGAATGGCAAATAAGGGAATGGGGTCAGGTGGTCTTGAAGGTGTCTCTGAATTCCATGGAGGATAGAAATAGAGGTTAATGAGAACCTGATGCCCTAAAATAAATCATGATAGAGAATCTATAAATGAAGACAGTAACTTACTAAATACACTATATACTGATTGGTTCTAAATCTACATTTATTTATTTTTTAAATCTACATTTTAAATTTGTACATGCTTCTGCAGATATAATGGTAAGTGCCATGTAGGCTCAGGTCAGCCTTCAAAATCCAAATACATGAACTACATTTTATGGAGTCCTTAGGAGTCGGAAATGACTAAATTCTCAGCTTATAGCTGAAAGGTTGCACGTACTCCGAGGTACCTCAGGAGCCAGGTCTGCTGTTCTGCTTCATAAAGGTCACAGCCTTGAAAACCCTCCAGGGAAATTCTACTCTGTACATGTGGGGTTGTCACATGTCAGAGGTGACTTGACTGTAGCTGATAACAACCTTTAATTATAGCATCATTTCTAAGAGAAACTGCTTTCCAGGCTTCAGTTGGAAATGTTAGGATCTCTCCCTACTGAGTCTGGTGAGGGTGTCAGGTGAGGCCTTTGCCACACCCTGTTTGTGAGTTTAAACTGAATACATGTCAGTTCTTATATGCTGGAGCCTTTGGTTAACTGAGTTCAGGTTATGAAGTCAGTTCTCAGACACAGACACTGAGGCATCAATGAACACTATCTTCCAGTCATGTGATTGGTCATACCTACCTTGGCAGCATATGAAGCATTTAAAACAAAACAAAACAGCACCTCTTGGGTATTTCTTTGAAGCAATTTTAAAGCATACGCATCTGCCCACACGTGCACATGGTCTCTCTCTCTCTCTCACACACACACACACACACACACACACACACCCCCAGATAGCTTGCTTCTCCTTCATAGCCATGGCTTAATAGATTTTTGATGGGAAATGCTATATTACCCAACTGGCTCACTTGCCTTTTTAATTAGTCTTAGGTCTAATTATGTCTGGCTATTTCCTTAAAGCCTCATTCACCTGAGAAGGGAGACTGGCCACTCAGAACATTCTAAAGAGTCCTGTGAGTCAGGTTCTGGGGGAAATTCCCGAGAAGGGTTTGGAGCAGACTTTCAGCTTTCTGTGGTGGCTGCTTTGGTTGTGACAACAACCATCTGGTAGAGTAAGTTCTGGAATGTTTATTACGTGTCCAGTCACCACGCTTGGGCGGCATACCTTGTGGTATAATGGGGTTTTATACCACAGCCTTTGATGTGCAAATGAGAGTCACAGTATCACCCCTCTTGGAATCTAACACATCTGAACCAACAGCTCAGGGATGTCCCCCACAGAGCTATAAACCATGCTGGAGGCCCTGGTCCAAGTTCACACCAGTGGAAGAACCACAGACTATCTAAGCAGGGCCTGCCATGCGCAACTATTATCCAGCCTTCTCTTAATGACCTTCAAATGCAGGAGGCGTATGTAAGCTCACTGCAAAAATTGTGACTTGGCTGAAAGAGGAGTAAGTTGTCTGATCTGTGTGTGAGTGTGGGACCATGTGTTTGTGTGTGTGGGTTTTTTTTTGTTTGTTTTGTTTTTTATTTTATTATTTTTGTGTGCGTGTACCGTCAAATCAGATCTGACTGGTACAGGAGGAGATTGTCCCTCCTTCCCTGGCAGAGCATCTGGTGGATTAGAACTGTGAGCCTCTGGGATTGTAGTTGCAGCTCCTTACCTTTAGGCCACCAGAGCTCCCCTGTGTGTATGGTTTTAAATGACCCTAAAGAGAAATCTAAGAGGAGAGAGTGCAAGCTCAGTGCAGTGGTCCTTTCTGGCTCTGGGACCTCCCAGAACAACTAGGGTAGGAAGTAAACTCATGGTGGGGTCTGAGAGACACCTTCAGACAAACAGCAGGTCAGGCCATCTTGGGGTCTCATTGCCTTTGTAGGATGGCATGATAAATCAGTCCTCCTCAGGGACTCAGACCAGGGCAAAAGGTCAGGATAGCAATCCTAATAGCCTTGCACTGCTGGCAGAAGAGGAGGCAACCCTGGGCAGAGCCTGCTATGCTGGGGAAGGAAAGGGCAGGTAGTCAGGGCGCCTCTGCTTCTCTCCCTGACCTCCTTCCCACAGGTCCAAGTTTTCCCCAGGGTATCCTCTGCCCAAAGAGGAAAATTCTTACTCCTCCCTAAGGAAGCTAATCTGGAAGGTCAGCTACTGGCCTTCTCTATTTTCCCTCTGTGCTTTATGTAGGGAGAGGCTTAGTGGCACATGTGTGTCTGTATCAGAGATGACAGTCCCTGGCTGCAGGCCCAGGGGCACAAGCACTATGTAAACTCTCACTGGGTACTGCAACTCTGCAACCTCTGGTGGGTTTTCAGAGGCAGTTAATCACATAGGAGGAGACCTCTCATCCCTCTTCTGCGGAGCAGCTGGTGGATTTGAACTGCGTGCCTTCGGGATTGTAGCACAGCTTCTTGCCACTAGGCTACCAGTGCTCCTTCAGGGCATGAGCCAAACCATGGGCTTGAGAACCTGTGTATAGTGTGTGCATGTCAGAAGCCTGCCCCTGTGCCACTGAGATCCTGGACACCAACTTCCTCATCTGTGAAGTGGGTGTGATGATGGCAATAATGAAAATAACACCTGCCTAGTGAGTACCTGATATGACAAGCACTTTGCTGAGCCGCCAAATAGATTCCACACATCAGCCCACCTAATCCTCACAACAACTCTATTTACAGATGTGATGTGAAAACCCAGGCTTAGAGGAGATAAAACACTAGCCTAGGGGCACATAGGCAATGCAGGATGGGGCTGGGACTTGGTTCCAAAACTTTGTTATTAATCACTTGATGATCTCAGTCAGTGTACTTCAGAGGGCTCATGGGATCTCAAAATGAGATCAAGTAACTGAGAAGGTAACTTTCAACTCTTATGCTAGGCCCCTGTTTAGCTGGAATCTTTACATAGATTTCTACATAAAGTTTTTGCTCCCCCTTAGAGGAGAGGCCGAGCACAGCACCAGGCACACAGCAGGCCTACTTAAACTCTGTTGTTCCTATGTGCTTTCAAATTGGAACTCACTTGTAACTGACCCTCCAACTGGGTTTTCAGAGACTATAAGTTACATGAGAGGAGATTGTTCATCTTTTCCCTAAGGGGTATCTGGTGGATTCAAACTACCTACTTTTGGATTAGCAGCTCAACTCGTTATTTACTAAACCACCAGAGTTCCCTCACTGTACTGAAAAGACTCAGGAGTCGTACTGGCTGGGCCAGGCTGCCTTGCTGAATCCTGACAGAGCAGTGCTGTTCTGATCAAGAGCACAAAGTTGGGCCCTGGGCAGGGCTGACTGAGAAGCAGGTGGTGGGAGACTCACCCGACGTTGAGGACCTTAGGTCTCTGTAAGCCGGAGCCCTCGAGCCGGAAGACAACATTGGTAAGGGTGACGGGAAGAGGGTTCTTGAAGACAATCTGTACTTCACATTCCTGGCCAACCACCGCTGCTCCCAATAACTGAGGAGAAAGAGGTCCACCTCACACATCAGAGACCGTTACCAAACACATGGCCATTGCAACCCCACCAGAGAGAGAAACTCTTTAGAATCAAACTTCCCCCTAAGCTCCACATTTCTGTTCTTCAGAGAAGTCTTGGTCTGCTCTTCAAAAGCCAGAGAGGAAATTGCAACCCATTCCTCAAATATCGCTACACAGAAGCAGGGTTATGAGATCTCATTTTACAAATGAAGAAACAGCAAACCCATAGGCAGGCTCCGGCCTTGCCTGGAACTGCTCCTCATACTAGCCTGCTCCAGCTTGGCACCCTCCCTTTCTCTGACTTCCCTCAGCACCTGACCCCTGCTCTCTGCCCATCCCTCACACTCCAGCAAGCCATACTCACCGTGAGGGAGAGATCTGGGGTGCGCAGACGGAAAGTATGCTGCTTGGCCAGCACCTGCCCATTCTCCTTGACGTGGCCTGAGACATTGAGCAGCATGGCCCCCTGGTCCACAAGGTGTGACCGGTATTCCTGGTAGGCCACAGGCATGACCACACGTTCTGCTGTGGAAGAGATATGACATCACTCAGGTCCACTTCCTCAGACTCAGCCACCCCCAGGCTGGGGGTCTCTGTTCCGTAGTCTGGCTTGCCAGCCGCCTGGAGCAGGCCTGGGTAGGAGTACTTACAAGCCCCTGGTGCCAGCACCACTTCCTTCTTGTTCTCCTTGAAGACAGGCCCTGTGACACCCGTGTAGAAGGTGACTGAGAGGTAGAGGTGTAGCTTCACGGTGCGGCGGCTGCTGCCACGATTGCTAAGCACCACGCCGATCGTCAGATCCTGCCCTGTCACTGCATCCTGCGTCTCCACCTGTACTGTCACATCCTCGGCTGAGTCGCGCGTGGCATACACGTTGGGTTTGCTGCCGTGCGCAGCTGCCGTCTCCACTGCTTTCCGCTCTGCCTCTGAGCCTGGGGGTTGGGAGTCAGGGTGAAGTTCCAGTGGGCTTAGCATGGGGTCTTGGGCTGGCCGGGGTGGAAGTCATACCTTCTGGGTGCTTGTAGATGGAGGTGATGTCTTCCCGCATGTTGGAGCCAATCGCCTTTGTGACAATGAGTGTGCCAATAGCTTTCTCTTCCACATACACGATCTTAAAGCTGCCGTCATCCTGGCGCTGCCAGTACACCTTGTCACTGTTAACCTGTTGGACATGAGTGGGGCATGTGAACCAGCAATGATTGAGGCGGAGGACCTGGGGGCAGGCATGCAACCCAGTGGCCTTCTCTGGATCCTAAAAGCTGTGGGGCAGGGATGGGTGTCAAAGCTCAAAGCTTCCTGGCAGAGCCCAGTGAGGGACTTTTTTGGGCTGAGCCAGAGGAGCCAAGAGGAGCCGGGAAGAAGCTGGTCTGGGAGGATACTTGCAGCGCATTTTGGCATTAATAACAGTCATCCCTTACGTTCGTTCACCAGCTTTATAACTTGTAAATCAGTCTCATACCCATTATTTCTTTTGATCCTGAGTACAGGAAGCACGGCAGCCATTATTACCACCTTTTACAGCTGAGGAAACAGACTGTATAGAATGAGTGACTTGGGGAAGGTCACACAGCTAGTTGACCAGCGGGGAAGTCGGGACCAGAGCACCCCCACTGAGACTGAGTGGCTCCAGATGGGCCAAGAAGCCACTTAGGGCACAACCCTCACCTCAGCAAAAATGAAAGGTGTGTCGTACTTCATATAGACCAAACCGTTCTTGATGGACTCTACGGAGCAGGGGCCACAGCAGAAGATGCCTAGAGTGAGGATAAAGGAGAGGTCAGAAGCTCAAGGAGGCCAAAGCAGACCCTTACATCAGACCCTAGCCCCATCCACGAGGTGAGGTGCCCACTGTCTGGTGGCCTCTTTAGTAAGGCCAGCTGCTGTCATCTACACATTCAGGCAGCCACTCTCCTAGTCTGGCTCGAGGAGGAAAAGTGAAAAAGATAATGGTTCTTCTTGGCTCTTATTCTAGATGGCTGTTAGGGCTGAGGTGGGTGCATACGTGACAGGAGAGGGGGCACAGTTGGCCTCAGAGCTGAGGGGCAAGCCTGCCTTCCTTGCTAATCAAGTCACTGGCACAATCTTCCTTGGCTGGACATCCACTATAGTCCAAAGCATAGGCTCACCCCTGAGTACTGGGAAAGCACCATACCCTACTCCCCTTCCCTCCCCGCCCAGATCTAGAACAACCCTCAGCTCTGTAACCAGCCAGTGTCCTCTCCACTGAGGGATGGGAGGGGCTGGTAGGGTACAGAATCTTTCCTTATTATAATCAGGAAGTTTCCTGGGAGGAAATGGGCTGGTCAGGAGGACAGGTTTGAAAGGAGGAAACAGAACTAAAAGTGAGGACTATCTATCAGGAAAACCGAGTGCTGTACCCTTTTGACAGAAGGGAAAACTGAGACTCAGCAAGATGGAGTAGATGTCAGCATCTCACAGGCTAGCTAGATACAGAGAGAATGGAAAGAGATAATATTTATTTGATGAAGAGTTTCTATGTCCCACACTTACATAAGATAAACTCTCAGATATATGATTTCTCACTTAATTCTCCCTACCATCCTATATGATATATTGTTGTTGGTTGCAATCACTTCCAATTTATGGCAACCCCATGCACAGAGTAAAACTGCTCTATAGAGTTTTCAAGGTTGTGGCCTTTCCAAAGCAGATCACCAGGTATGTTTTCTGAGGCTCCTCTAGGCTCTTCAAACTGCCAGCCTTTCAGTTGGCAGTAAAGCGTTTAACCATTTACTTCACCTGGGGAACTCCAAATGGCATATTATACAAGGACACCAAAGCCCATAGGTACAGAGTACTGAACCAAGACAATGTGTCCACTAAGTGACCAAGCTGGGCTGAAACCTCTGACTGGCTGGCACTAGAGACCCCTGACTTCTTCCCAGGGTGGGGTGAGAGCTCAGATCTCAGAGCCCCAGGCTAGGCTGATTCAGCTCTGCTGACAGAGCTCACGGGGGCTGTCAGATTGTTACTGAGAGGGTGTAGCTGGATGGAAACCAGACAAGGAATGCAGGGTAGGCAAGGAAGAGTGACCCAGGGTGAGGAAGGGAGAGCTGGAATGAAGGAATGTCAGGATACAAAGAGGTAGAAAATCTGTTTGAGGATAGAGTGAACAGGTTTTATTTTCTCAGAAACATGTCTATGTGGATCCAGAAGAGAGACTGGGAGGTTATGACTACAGTAATTACTGCCGGGGTGGATTATAGGGACGATTTTCCTCTTTGAACCTAAGCCTGCGATTTTACTATCCCGTGCATATAACTCAGCGTGAGCAATGGAAAGACAGGAGAAGCACTTGGTGAAAGTGAGAGTGTGGAAATGCTTGATGGTCAGGAAACTGGACTAACTCTGTGGCTGATCTACTGCTCCAGGTCCCAGAGAAAGTCGTGTTATTTCTTTCTTCAGCGCTGGGTTTCTCACACATCCCACAAGAGTTTGGAATGGTCTCCAAACCTGGCTAATCCTTAGAATCAACAAACGAACTCTTAGACTCTAAGATTCCTAGAATCTGGCCTAGATTCTTTAAGTCTGATTCTAGTGTGGACCTAAGTATCCACTGCCTTTGAGTCAATTCTGACTCATAGTGAGAGTGAGGGTGGAGAGAACTGCCCCTTAGAGTTTCCAAGGCGACAGAGCTTTATGGACTGCCTCATCTTCCTCCAGGGCAATGGCTCGTGGATTTGAACTGCTGACCTTTTGGTTGGCTGCCAACTGTTTTAACCACTATACCACTAAAGGGAAACAGAATGTTTTCATTGTAAAACAGAAAATTCCTAACAGTAGCTTTTTAACTAGAAAATAAAAATAAAAATAAAAGTCCTTTAATTAATTATATCCAAGATGTGCACATAGTTAAGCAAGTAGGAGCAATGGGTTTGTGAGAGTGAAGCTGTGAGAGTTCACTGCATACTTTCAAATCTTTTAAACTCTGACCCATTAGTATGCATTAGGGATCTCTGGTGGCCGACTGGTAGGAAGCTGTGTTGCAATTCCAAGGGCAAGCGTTTTGAATCCACCAGGTGCTCCACAGGAAAAGGATGGGTATTCTCCTTCCATACGATTCGCTACCTCTGAAAACTCGCTAGAGCGTCAGCTGTGGGTCAGTTCCAACTTGATGGCACACACCACCACCAACAGTGTGTTCTAATAGGGAGCTCTGGTGGCCCAGTGGTAAGGAGCTGTGCTGCCAACCTGAAGGCATGTGGTTCGAATCCACCGGCTGCTTCACGTGGGAAAGATGTGCACTCTCTCCCCATGCGAAATATTGCCACTGAAAAGCTGCTGGAGGGTCAGCTATAGGTTAGTTCTGATTCAATGGTACACAATAACAGTGTGTACTGACATAGAGCGCTGGTGGCTATCCAAAAGTAAGAAGTTGTGCTGCCAACCCAAAGGCAAGTGGTTCAAAACTACCATTGCTCTGTGGGAGAAAGATAGACAATCTCCTGTGTGACTTATAGCCTCTGAAAACCCACTAGAGGGTCAGCTATGAGTCAGTTCTGACTTGACTACACACAACAACCTTAATGGGAGCGCTGATAGCATAGTCTATAGAGAACTGTGCTGTTAATCCAAAGGCCGAGTTTCTCTGGTGGTCCTAATCTACCAGCAGCTGCTAGGGAGGAAGATAATCAATATCTTCTGCAACCTTGGAAACTCAAGGCAGGGTCAGCTATGAGTTCTGACTCAACAGCAATGAGTATGCATTCACCATTAGAAATAAGTAAAAACTTAAGCGAATAGTTAGATGTTGTTATGTGCTGTCAAGTTGGAACTGACTCAAAGTTGACCCTTCAGTGGCTTTTCAGAGGCTGTACATCACAATGAGAGGAGACTGTTCAACTTTCTCCCAAGGAGCAGTTAGTGAATTTGAACCACTTGCTTTTGGGTTGGCAGTGCAACTCCTTACCCAGCTGGCCACCATATTTCTCTGTATGGTTCATGGTCTTGTTGTGTACCATCAAGTTTGAACTGACCCATAGCTGACCCTCCAGCAGATTTTCAGAGGCAGTAAATCACACAGAAGCAGACTGTCCATTCTTTTCCAGTGGGGCAGCTGGGAGATTCAAACCAAGTGCCTTCGGGTTGGCAGTGTAAACACTTACTACTGAGCCACCAATAATCCCTAAGTGGTTACATAGGAAGGTGAAAAGAAACAATCATGTAGGTGAGTCAGTTGATAAAGCCAGCTTTAGGAACCAGACCAAAAAACAAACTCCCAAGTCCATTGCTGTGGGATCAATTCTGACTTAAAGTGATGCTATGTAGTGCAAAAGAAAACACCACCTTGGTTTTGGGAGGAAAGAAAGCCATTATTATTGTGGAAGTTTAAATACTGTTGTGGGCCATCAGATCAGAAGTGACCCATAGCTGACCCTCCAGGGGGTTTCAGAGACAGTAAACTGCAAATGAGAAGACTGCCCATCCTTCTTCTGTGGTTCAAACCATGTGATTTTGGGATTGCAGCACAGCTTCGTACCACTGGGCCACCAGAGCTTTACCATAGAAGGTGCAGCAAGAGTGCTCCTTGGAGGTAAAGATCATAAAGCTTCATCTCACAGACTCTGGACATGTTACTAGGAGAGGTTATTCCTTGGAGAAGGACATAATGCTTGGAAAGGTGAAGGGATAGTGAAGGAGAGGAAGACTCTCCATGAGCTGGATTGACACAGTAACGCAGCAATGGACTTGCGAATGTCAGAGATTGTGAGCATGACAGGGTTGTGACAGGATGGTGTTCAGACATCTGTTGTTCATAGGGTCGCTTTAAGTTGTGCTCAACTCAACGTAACATAACAACAACAACAACATGTGGTGCAAAGGAGAATTTCTCCATAGGGTTTTCTTGGCTGTAATATTTATGGAAATATTTCTTCTTTCCACCTTCTCTCCTCCGGAAGACCTCACCAGCTAACTGCTTCTTCCAAGCATTTCTTCTTTAGTACTGCTGAGTGGGTCTGAATGATAAGGGGCCAATGGGTTTGATTCTGAGTCTAGGTTAATGCCGACACTGTGTTTGTGTTACCAGGTTAGGGAGGAAGAAGACCCAGTTGAGGTGCAGGAGTCAGTCTTACCACTGCTGGTCTCTTGGGGTGTAGCGTCCACCACCTGCCACCCATTGAAGCCTGAGGGCAAATCCGGCCTCTTCATCCAGCAGTCATTCCACACGTGAAAGTTCCTGGGATGGACACCAAGGGAGGACTATGTCTGAGCTTCCTGCCCTGAGCCTTCCGCCTGCCCTGCCCCTGCCCAACTGTCACCACCAGCTCTTAGGCCAACCATCCTATAGCAATAGGCCACCTAGTCCTAGTGCAGCCTCACCAAACAGAGTCATGGTTCAGGTGCTCAAGTGGCTTCATATTCTCATCAAAGTAGATGTCCATGGTGAGGGAAGTGTCGGTGTCGTGTGCAGAGTTGAAGTTGGTGACAGTCCTGGTGGCCAGGCCCAGGCAGCGCAGCACTGCAGAGGTGTCAGGGTCAAGGGTCAGAGACAGGGTTAGGGCAGCAGTGGAGGATAGAGGAGGGATCAGATAAGGGGAATGGGCAACTGGGATTGCCAAACTGGTCTTGGACCACTGGGGTCACCAGGGTCAGGAGGTCTTCTGGGTCAGGGAACATCAGGGACAGGAGAAACCAGGCCTCCTGCCTGGCTCAGTCTTTGCCTGTCCCTTCTCCCTCCCCTTCCTGAGGCCTCTCCCTGCTGTTAACACTAATTAATGATAATTAAGGCCAGCCTACATCTACTCCCCCGCTTGTGCCCTGCACTGTAGCCACAGCTGGGCCAGGGTGGGCAAATGTGGAGCCTGGCTTCCCTCCCTCCTCAGGGGCCACTCCCATCCTGGTCTCATCCCTACCTGTGGTGGTCACACCAGCAAAGACCCAGCATTGGCCGTAGGGGACAGAATAACCAGTGCGTAGGTAGCTGAGGAGGATCTCCACACTGCCCACCCATGCTGATGGGTTGGTGCCTCGGGAGTAATCGCCAGACCAGTTCCCAATCAGGACCCCATTGTCATCCAGTGAGTTTACCTGCCCAGGGGAGTAGGGTGGGGAGGGAGGGGAGAAAGAAGATCAGGCTCATCATGGGGCCGCTAGCCCAGGTCCTGACCATGCAGCCACCCCTCACCCCTAAATGCCTCAGGAACTAGACATTAACCAGAGCCCCACCTACCATCCACTAAGTCATCTGTCCCCACCCTCCCACCCCTGGTCTGACATAGGAATGCGATTCTGGGGTGTGCCAAGTTTGGGGTTTGGCCCTACATTCTACAGGAGCTGGGAAAGGAGCCAGGAAAGGGGGGTTGAGGGCAGGCAAGAAAAAGAAATGGAGATGTCAGACCCTTTTCCAAGATATCCTTTGCAAAGTTAGGAAGAGGGCAGAGGGTCCTAGTGGACCCCAGAAAAGTCAGGGATGCAGCAAGCAGATTCACAGGAAAGCTCTGGGACATGAGGGTGCTCACCATGGCAGAGACAACCCGGGACACGCTGACTGGGTCCCCTCGGCCCCCATATGGCATCCCTCGCCGGTCCAGGATGTATAGACAGGCATCCAGCACCCCATGGTCAAACTGAATGAAGGGAGGACATAAGTGACTATGGCCCACGTGGCTAAAGTCGAACTCCAGACCACACCACTCTGCTCCCCTGCCCTCACCCCAACCCTGCTTGTGGCTGTCCCAAATATGGGGCCCCGGCCAGCCATACCTGGCCATAGTTCCAGGTCCGTTCACCAATTTGTGCTTCAGTCCCGTAGTAAATTCTCCCAGATTCATTAAGCACATATTCCTGCCGCCAGTCCTCGTGGTCCACGTACACGATATCGTCTGTGCCCCCAGAACACACATGTCTGACTCCTTTCAGCTCTGTTCCTGGGCCCCAACTGCCCGAGGGCTAGTTCTGCAGGACTCAAGTCCTCAGGGGCAGGGGGAGGCCCCTAGAATAACAGGACTGCTTGCAGGAAGGATGGAGAGGGGTTGGAATCAGGAGCCGTGACCAGGAAAGGTCAAGCTGTGTGACTATAGACAGTCACCTTTCTACACTGCAATGAGGGTCTCCTCACCTGGATAAGGGGAGACTGGCTTCTTTTGGGGTCAGATCCAGGGGTCTAGCTTGACCTTGAAGAAGAGTGCCCTGCCTTGCCCATTTCTCCTTCCACTCTGCTTCCAAATATGGCAGGCTTACCTGGGCACCAAGGGTTGAAGAGTATGTAGATTTCATTGTGGGGGTCAAAGGGCAACTGGAACTCTCCGGCATCTGTGCGAGTGCGAACGGTGAACTGAAACTTGCCAATGATGGAGTCGGGGGAGGTGTGGACCCGAAGGTTCAGATCCTGACCATTGGCTTTGGTTACCTGGGCCTTCCAGCCCCCGCTTCCTCCCTTCCCCACAGGGATGATCACATGGGTGCCCTTGCCCACCTCAGGGCTGCTGCCTAGAGAGGAGGAAGAAGCAGTTAGCTGGTGAGGTCTTCCAGAGGAGGGAGGGTAAAGAGTCCTGGACTTCTCCCAGCCCCACCCAGCATGTGTGTAAGCTGGTGTGTGTCCCTGAGTTGGGTCATTGCTTTAGTTTGTGACAGTCTCTCCAAGAGCAGCTCTGTCCCCACCCGATGCTTGCCCGCATGCTGGGGCAGGACTCCAGCCCAACATCCCAAACCTGTTCCCCTGACACGGAGCTTAGGGGTGGGGAGGAGAGTCACCAGGGCCACAATCACCCTCCCACCGGCCTGACTATCCCAGTGCTTGAGCTAGAGCAGCAGAGCCAGCCAGCTGGGTTCAAGTCACCTTGCATGTGTGCAAGAAAAGCCTGGATGCTGATGCCCAAGCCTGACTGCTCCCTGACACCACAGCCTCCAGAGCCCAGGGCATCCCTGGTGGAGGTGCTGGGGGATACTTCAGAAATTAGAGGCTGGGGCGGGCAAGGTTAGGCCCTAATCAAAGGGTATGATGAGTCTCCCGCCCCCGGCAGTGGCATAATCACCAGCCTGGGCAATCAACGGCCACCAAGCAATGCAATGAAGGAGGCACCTGCCCTGGGCCATGGGGATGGAGAGACTGACAGTGTTGAACAGAGAGTAGCAATAAAGAGCAGCTTTAGAAGAAAGATACCCAGATCAGAGTCACAGAGGCAGGCAGGGGAAGAGGGGGGATTTTGAGAATGATCCTCAAGGTTTGAGGAGGGAGAGCTTGGAAGAACAATAACGCCATGACCCTTCCTGAGATGCACACCTAGATGCCTCTTTGACTGTACTTCCAGACCGGGAAGCATTGAAAGCCAAGCTCCTCTCCACAGAAGCTGGTACCTTCACCCTCCTGACCCCTGCCTGGCTCACTTCAGGCCTCACTGACCAATAAGCAGTTCGAGGGCAATACGATCAGAAGACTCATAGGGCCGGTTTAGGTAGAGGACCATGTGGAAAGGCTGCCCACGTCGTATGATCAGCTCGTCATACTCAAACTCGTCCGTGTGGTGCTCCCGGCGGTTCTGGTCCGAGCGTGAACTCAGCAAATCCACAGCGGTCACCACCAGCATGCCGTCTGCAAAGCCACAGATTCAGGTCAGCAAAGCCCCTCATCGGACTCCCAGCCCTCCAGAGATTCAGAATGAGTCTCAGGTGCTCTGAAGACCCCTCAGCTCTGACAAGGTAGACAGGCTGGGCCTTACCTCGGATGGTGCCATCTCCTGCTGCGTTCACACCGGAGCCAGGCCGGCGGGTGTCTGAGGTCCTGGAGTCAGGCCTTCGACTCCTGGACCCTCGGTTGTTAGAGGGCTCATGTCCCCAGTCGTCATCTGTGCCCCGGCACGAGCAGCAGCCACAGCACCGAGCCCAGAAGGAGCGGCCGGAGCGGCCGGAGCGTCGGGAACGTCTGTCTGGCTCTGGCTCTGGCTCTGGTGATGGGGTGACAGTGGGCTGCCAGGGGTTGCTGCCCCAGCGGCCCACGTCTGACCGAGGACTGTCCATCGTTGCGCCTGTGAGGGAGAGGCAGGGGGCTCTGACCACTGGTCTGGAGAGCAAACCCACCCAGAAAGCAATTTACCCTGTTCACCTCCATCCACTGCGGACAGTCACCAGAGGACAGAATTCGATCTAGACCCACTCAGAGACCTTTCCCAAACATCCCATTCAGGTGCACCCAGAGCAGCACTCCACTTTGCAGAGAACAGTCTTTCTCTTCACACTGATGCCCACAAAACCACATCCAAAACCAGATGCTCAATCCAGGAACTCCTTTGAGAACCCATCCTAGAAAACATTAGGAGTTCCCTTCGCAGGCACAAGTCACAGCCTCCAGACCCACTGGAGAGGATCAGAGCTTCCAGAGACCCTGTCTCCACTCTAACTGGCTCGTTAGTTTGAGGGTCCAAGTCTCCAGGACCACCCTTTGCTTAGCAGAGAGCTCCCAAGGCTACGTGCAGAAGGCAGACGATGGGTAAGGGCTTGGGTCTTGGGCATCCTCACGAAGGGTCAGCCCCATAGGGGTGACAGCGGGGGCGAGGCGCAGTCGGTGCCAGGCGACAGGTCTGGGCGTCAGGAAGCCCGCTGGGGTTGAGCCCACCTGGCCAGGAGCATCCCTCACCTGGTGGTGCTGTTGGCGGCAGCGCGGAGTCCCAAGTCCCGGCCCGGGATGGAACAGGTTGGAACAGAAGGGATGGGACTGGGATGGACCGACAGGCTGGACGCCGCCGCGAATAGGTGTGGGGCGGGCTGTGGAGTGGTTTATGAGGGGGAGGGAGGAGCCGTGCTGCTGGGAAGGGGAAGCTCGCCTGGCCGGTGCTACGCCAACCCCCTTTCCTCCCCCCACACACCCAGGAAGAGCTCCAGGTGCCTCTGTGGGCTGTCAAGAGGTAAAGAAACTGGAACTGGCTCCCTCCCTCTCCCCTTTCGAGGAACCGAAATGATGCAGGGGTGGGTGGAGCAGGAGCCAGGGAGGGGGCTGGTCTGGGGCTGTCAGACCTGAGGCCTGAATGAAAGTTGAGGGACCCCACACCGGTTGACCTCTGCTAGACTATTTGAGCTGTCAGGGAGGAAGCCTGAGCTCCACTACAAGGACGCCTCTCCATCCACACCTGTCAGCAGACGCTGTTACCCAGCTCAAGTGGCCTGGGTCCCAGCACCCTAGCCTTTGGGCCTGATCTCGCCCCAGGAGGTCCTAGGATCCCAGGTGCAGATGGTGACATCAGCAGCCAGGCCCGCAGACTAGCTCCACCAGCCAGCCCCTGACCTGCAGGCTCTACCAGATCCTCTGACCCCCCACGCCACCCCTTCAGCCTGCCCCTCCTTCCTCCAGCTGCTCCACAGCCCCCAGCATGCCTGAGTGGGCGTCCATCTCCGGCTGCCCATGCCCCTCCAGGCTGGGGGAGAGGGAGGCAGAGTAAGAGTCATCTCTTCTGTCTCCTTCTGGCCTAGGAGTTTGAGGGAGGCTTCAGGATTATGTGAGAACTGAAGCCCCATCCTAAGGCTCCAGAGTATCCCCTCCTCTCATTGAGAGGAGTGTCTGATTAGCTGGAGTAGAGTTCCCCCTCTTCTTTACCCTGGAATTCTTCCTGGGAATCTTGACCAACCGGCTCTGGGCACCTGTCCTGGGTACATCCCAACTCCACCCCTGCACTGGGATAGACACAAGGGTTCCAGAGAGAACCCAAGGCAGAGGGAAGCTGGGCATCTTTAGGAAGGCTGGGGCTTTGTTTTGGGGCCCATCAGCCTCTTTTCTCCACCCTAGTGGTGTCTCTAGGAAAGGCTGAGAGGTTGGTGAAACATCAGGTGGAGAGATGTCTTGAAAAGTGGATGCAGAGGCTCCAGCACCTGGTAGGCAACCCTCCACACCCACATTTCTCTGTCTGGATCTAAGCCCCAGAAACCAGCAACAGGGTCTGCTTCCACCCCAACATTCCGAGTGCACAAAGATGGAAATAGCAATCTCAGGCAGAGGTGAGGCAGGTCAGCTTCGTGGAGTTTGTTGTGCATTACCATGGATATGGGAAGGGACGTGCCTGATGAGCACACGTGGGCCCAGGCAGATTCCCAAAGAACTAGAAAAATGCCTTTGTCACACTCTCACTGATCCATCGTTTTCATCATTCTTTCTCTTTCCCCACCCAGGAGGTCTGACTCAGTTCCTTGACCCCTGAGCCACTCCTGTATTTCCCTCCTCCAGGAAGTCCTGATACCCTCAGGGGTTTCACAGTCATGTTAAGACTTGTGTGCGAGTGCTGGTGGGGATTACCATGGGAGCACAACCTCAACTCAGTAGGGGCCCCCATTTCATACAGTGGAGAAGCAAAGGCATTTGAGTTTAGAATCCCTAGACAGAGGCGTAGGGAGGGATGATTTTGGCTCCAGTACTTAAGAGTCAGCAAATTAAGGTGAGTCTTTACAGCAGTTTCCTCATCAGTACAATAGGCTAATCATCTCATGCTTAACTTCTTGTGAAGATCAAGTATTTTCAAGGGTTCTTCAACCAAAGAATGCTATTTATGGAGAATGATCTGTTGTGATAACAGGGTGGAGGAGCAAGGGAACCGGGGGCCACTCCTCCTGGGAAAACAGGACACCAGAACCTTCTCAGCTGTGATGAATGAGCCAGGGCAGGGGACACGTGGAACGAGCAGGGCCACACAGGAGCCTTTCATCATCCCTGCTAGTTACTGGGGAGACGTACAACTACTTTCTAGCTCTGAGCTTGAACCCCAAATCACTCTCAATTCCGATCTGGAACCTGGACCCAGAAGGTGAATTCAAAGCCAGTCCCAGCCCTGAACTCTGTCCTGAACACTGAGGCTTTGGTCCTCCATGATTGGCAAGAGAGGGCTAGAGAGAAGACACATCCTGTGTCTCTCTCCTGCTCCTTCCCCAGTAGACCTGGTAGCAGTGGTGCTGGTGGCGGAGGCAGCAGGCTGGTGAACAGAGGGTGTCTCTCCATCCTTTATTTAGTTCAAATAAGTTAAAAGCAAGGGTAAGGGACATCCTCTTAGGTGAGGATGCTGCTCACTGAAGGCAGCAGTCCAGCCAGCTGCTCTGAGATGCCCACTGCTTGGCAAAGGGGGTTGCCTTCCAAGTTGAGGAAGGTGAGTTTGGAGCAGGAGGTAAGTGTTTGGAGCACTGTGGGCTGCTGGAGGCCTTGGGCAGGAAGGAAAGTCAAGGGAAACTCAACAGACTACCTTACATTCACTCTTGTTTGCCTGTCAGTTTTCCAACACGAGTGTCTGGAAGCCTCTTTGATGGGCACTTCACATGTTTCTCTGGACAGAAGAAGGTTTAAGGCAGGAACTGCAAAAACCTGCCTACATATTGTGCTGAGTGAACTAACTCAGTCTCATAAGGACAAAAGCTGCATATGAACATTATTGTAAAAACAGAAGGGTTAAAGTGAGGTATGTGTAAAGCCCAGTAGGGGAAAGGGAGAGGGGAAATCACTATGATAGCGGAGTTTGGTGCATGGATTGAGGGACAGGGTGGAGGACTAGGCAAGATCCAATGGTGATCTCAAAAGACGGGGTAAATATTAGTCACAGATCAATGGTGATTAATTCTATAAAACAGTATGAATGATTGTATGAAACATAATGTGAATGAAGGGACGTGTGAAACACAATGTACATGAATGATGCACAAAGTGTAAGAACTTTGTACACAAAACCATATACAAAAATACCCCCCCAAAAACCAATCCACAACAAAAAAACCCTGTGGCAACCGGAGTGCGGCAGAGAGCACATGAAAAACAGGTTGGGTGTAGCTCAAGGAGTAGTGAAGACAGTGGTAAAGTGAAATGCTAGCCTCATCTAAATAAGTATCTGCTACTTAGTAACAGCCAAGGACTGCCGGGTAAATGCAGGCTTACAGGCTGTTTTAACGTGAGAAGATATGAAATGTCTCGCTCTATAGATGGTCTGTCTGTGAACTCTGGCTTCAGGAAGTCACTCTGACCCTACAGAATCCACCAGTGCAAGTCAATGACAGCCTTTCCGGTCCTCAAGCTTGTCCCTCTTGAGCTCCTGCTCTCATTCCTCTCTGTCAGGGTGCCACCCACTCTGCTTGCTAGCTCTCACTCCCCAATGTGGCACCCCACCCTCTGTCTGAAAGGCACCCAGAAGGAAGGATACGGTTGTTGCACAGTACCAGCTCCCGGAGCCGGGGCAGGTTAGTGACGCCATCCAGGGACTCTATGATGTTATCGTTGGCTTGCAGCACCTAGGAAGCCAGGAGGGCAGGGCAGTACAAGGCAAAGCGGGCAACTGCCAGCCAGGGATGAGTACAAGCACCTGAGGGTGATCAGCTTACAATGCATGGGTGACAGGAGATGGGGGCTAGGTAGGGCAGAGAATAGATAAGCTGTTACCCTTTGAGACTGGGAAGTTCTACACTTGTGTTTGTAAAGGGGGCTGATTTCTGAGGTGGGGGGAGGGGAAATGATCACTTATGACAACAATGGAGGCCTTACCTCAAGGCAGCGCAGGGAGGACAGGGCAGGGGGCAGGGTGTGGAGACGATTGTGAGACAGGTCAAGATGAGTGACCAAGAGCAGCTGTTCCAGGTGACAGAGCACTGTAAGATCCTGAAGAGAGGGTAGAGAGATAGCTAATGAGACCTGGGGGAGGGTCCTCGGCCATCATTCATTATACACTTACTCTCTGGGCCTCACACAGACCCCAGCTGAGGAGAGGGTACAAGAAAGTGGCAAGTTGACATGATAACCCAGACAGTGAGTGCTAGGGACAGACATTGTACATGGAAGGGTATGGGGCAGAGAGCAGTTCTGGAGGAGATGACCAGGAGGAGGCAGCCTGAAGTGGGGGAAGGTATAGACAATAGAGGACACTGGGGTACACAGACACTGACAGGAAGAGAGTCTGGGAGATCTATCTGGTAGGAGTGGAGATGGGCCACAGTCAAAACAGTGATGTGTTTGTCAGAAGACCAACTGGGAAATATTAGAACAGAAGGAATGTGGAGTCTGCTGGGAACCTTGTAAGGATTCTCTGGAATGACTGGGGCTTTAGGTATTGGCCTGTTTGATATATGGGAAAGAGTGAGTGGAGAAGGGGTGGACTGAGGGCTCATTCTCAAGGACGAACAAATCCGTGACTAGCTTATTGAAAGAGGCATCACGAAGAGACCCTGATAACTTGAGATTTGAAATAAGGGCAAGAAGAGACCAGAAAGAATGATGGGGCAAACTACAGAAAGAACGGCCTGGAAGAGCAATAGCCTTGAAGGATGATGAGTTCAAACCTGGTTGAGAGGAAAGGTCCCGGAAGACACCAGAGATCAAAGTCCATGGCCAGGCCCCGAGGGAAGACATGAGCTGTGGGGAGGGGGCCCAACAGCAGGCACACGGTGCAGTCCATACCTTGTGAGCCAGGTGCAGCACACGCACGTCGGCATACTCCATCTTGAGCACACTGTTCTCCAGCAGGAACTTGCTGCGAAGGTCATCCAGGTATGCAGTCCGCATTGGGTCCACAGCCTGGCAAAGCTTCATGTCAGCTGTCTTCTTCCCTTCCCACTGGGTCTCCTTGCTGCTCCCAAGGCCTGACTTACCTTGAGTGTCTGGAAGTACTGCAGCGTCTCTCTCTCATACAGCAGGGGATCCAGGGCCCGCATCAGCAGGATGATGGTGAGCAGGCACCCTGAAGAGGGTGGGCAAAGGAGACTTTGTCCTAAATTTGCTCTGCTCCCCACGCCCTTTATACCCTTCCTGACAGTCCCAAGGGTCCACTCCAGAAAGGGGCTTTGGGGGATGGGAGAGGCTCTAGAGAACAAGGGCTCAGAGTATGGGATCTCACATTTGTTCTCAGGCTCCAGGTCCTGCAGCTCCTTACAAGATTCAAGCTCAGACTGCAGCACTGTGGACTTCTCCACTGACAGCTCACACCTGAGGGCAGGCAGGGTAAGGAGAGGGTGATGCTCACACCCAGAAGTACTGGGAGTATCTAGTGACCCATCCAAAAGACCCTGTCCTTAAGCCTCAAACCCCCTGCTACAGGTGCTTGATGCACAGAATCTAGTGCCTTCTTGTCCACGTGCTTCACCTGAATAGCTGCTCATCTGTGGCTGAGTCCCGGCACCAGCCCTCCTGGTGGCCTGGGAAAAAGAGCAAGTGACAGGAGGTGAAAAGAGAGGAGAGAGATACGGGTCCTGCAGGGGGTGGAAGCTGCAGGCTGCATCACCTTTTAACAGTACACACTCCTTCTGGACATCGCCTGCCATCCAAATGACACGAAACGAATGTTGGTGCAACTGGTCGTTGAGGGAGGCGGTGGGCAGGTCACAGAGCTGGGAGCACTGGGTCAAGGAGATACCCTGGCCTCACCACTTTTTTTTTACTGTTCCACCCTAGCCCTGCCCCTGCCCCCTACTTCTGTCCCACAAATCCTCGGATACCCAGACATGGTTGGGACGGTTCCTGCCATCTGGGGTCCTCCACTCCACAGCCAGGGGTGACCCATCAACCATGAGCAGCAAGGTCTCCATCCCGGAGCCCACCTGGCCAGGGACAAAGGGAGACCTGTCACCCCCAACAATACCAGGCCCAAAACCCTGTACTGCTGTCTGGCAAAAGCCACAGGACTCACCAGGAGGGGCCGAGAGAAGGAGACTGTCAGACAGGCCTCATCCCGGCTCACATGCAGGCAGTGCAGGGCATCCTGGGGGTCAGCTAGGGGGAGAGACAGCCTTAGGACTCCTAAAGCAACTTCCATGCCTTCCAAGTTCCAAAGATTCAGCTTTCTCTGTTGCTCACCTCGGCCCAGGAGCCAGCGGTGATAGAACCAGGCACTCTGATCATTGGGGTCAGTGAAGAAAGCATTCTGTACCAGCTCCAGCTCTGGAGAGAACAAGGAGGCAAGTGGATGGTGGCCAGGACCCAGGCAAGCTTCTGGTCACCCTAATACCCACTCTGCACACGCTTTCACTGTAGTACTTCTCAATCTTAGTCTCATTTATACATTGGCTTTGCACAAGAATTTTCTGTCCTCTCAACATCTGAGTTCTCTTGCAGCACTCAGTTTTTTGTCCCTTTCAAAGCCAGGTATGAAGGAGGTGCTCAATGAACATGACTGACAAGTCTAGGAACAAGGCCAGGTGTCAGGGTGGAAAGGGTGGAGGCAGAGCACTGACTGGCCTTCTCTAGCACCCCGACACTGCTCACCTTTGAGCAGCAAATCCTCAGGGAGGCGCCCCTGGGGTCCAGAATCTGGCTGGGGGTGAAGCTGGGGCAGGAGGCAGGAACGGTAGTGCCAGGAGGAGTAGTTGGAGAAGTTTCGGGTGATGAGACTGTCGGTGAAGGCTAGCTCCTCTGAGGGGGGTACGGTGGCCTGTGCTGCCACAAACCGCCGGTAGTCCCAGCAGTGAACTGGGATAGGGTAGGACACAGAGCACTTCAGAAGCAGGGTCAAGGGAGCTCCCTGGTTGTACCCTCCACAAACACTTCTACACGCTCCATGAAAGATATGCTCATGGAAGATATGGGAACAACCCTCCTCACTATGGGCCTCACTGTGGCCCCAATCTCAGGATGTGGGGTAGGTGTGGGGTGTGAACTCAAAATGTGCAGGCACGTACAGTTCCGCTCATCGACCTCGAGGAAGCGGGCACACAGCTCCAGCTCCCGGTCCCAGTTGGGCTCAGGCAGGCGACTCAGCAGCCAGCAGCGGTGATGCCAGGTGCCATAGGACTTGGGGTTCACCCGCAGGCAGCTCTCCAGGAAACCTAGCTCTGCCTTCACCAGAGCAGCCAACTCTTCTGGGGATCTGTACCCAATGGGGACGTGGGTCAGTGTCCAACAGCCAATCTCAGCTCATTCCCATCAGCTTTCACCCAGCTCTCCACTGTCCTCGGCCTATGCCCCTAGCTGTCTCATTCTTCCTCCATCCCTGGACCAAGTCAGGGCAGAGGTGGGGCCAGGATTGGGAAGGGAAGTCCTCCTGGGGCTCAGAACCCCTACACACTTCTGGGTCTCCAGCTCCTGGAGCACTTCTCGCCGGCAGTTCCAGAGGGTGGCAAAGTCAGGGTTGGCTCCCAGAATCTGGCTTGTCAGTTCCAGCACTGACTCATCCAGTTCACCAGCCTGGCGCTGTGAAGGTAGACAACAAGGTTAGAGATCATATAGGGCTAATAAACACACCTGTCAAATACTCTATGAATTCTATACTATGGGACAGATACCATAAATAGAACACTAAATGTATTTACTCACTGAATCTTCACGATAGCCTTATGTGGTAGGTGTATTAGTCCCATTTTACAAAGGGGCAAACTGAAGCCCAGAGTACACTGCCCAAGCTCACAGCTAATAACAGACTCTGGTGTTAGATCCAGACTAGCTTTCCAGCCAGCTCTTGGTTTTGTGCTAAGGGAGTTAGCCAGGGGGAGGGCTACTTGTGAGGATCCCACCTTTTGGAAAATGGCTTGAGTGGCTGACAGGTATAGTTTCAGTTTCTGCTCGCGTTCTAGCCTTTTGGCTTCTGCTTGTTCTTCCGAAGTCTTCACCTTCAATCGCCCATGCTACAAGGAGGGGTGGGTTGGAAGGGTACAGGCTGTCCTTGCAAGGGCAAACCTGCAGAATATCCTCTGAAGAGCCCCAGGCTAGGACAGAGCAACAGGAAAGACAACATGGGGCGAGGGCGTAGGCATGCAGAGGTGTGGGGCTGGGCTCAGGGTCCTCACCATCGTGCAGGTTCAGGGTGCAAGAATGGGAGGGGTCCAGTGGTCACCGGTGAAATCTGGGGAGAGAGGCTGTCAATCACGGGAGCCCCGCCCCTACTAGCTCCACCCACAGCGATCCCCTGGAAGCCGCACCTGGGCCTGGGTGGAGACAGCCCCCCCGACTCCCTTCCTCCGGGTTTAAATGGCTTCTGGAGTAGGCATTGCACATCGAGAAGGAGGCGCCCACCTGGATTTGGATTTCTAATCGCACGGCCCTGCACACAGACTAATCGGCTGAAGCTCGAGCTGGGGCATTTAGACGATGGGGACCTCTCCCAGCCCAGAAGTCAGCCGCTATCTGTGCTCAAAGGCATCCCCCCGCCCTTACCCCCTCCCGCACGGACCCACCTGAGCTAAGAGTAGGCGTGGGGCACACGGAACTGCGGCGCCGCCACGGAGCCCGGGAGCGGGCTAGAACGGCACCACACCCCAGCTTCCTCAGTTCAGCGCCCTCTGCAGGCTCGGGGCGGGGCCGCGAGCTAGTAAACTGCGTCGGGAGGCGCGTTCGTGAGGATTCGCCCGCGCTCTCCGCAAGAGCGAAGGGCCTTGACCCTTCGCTGTATAAAAATGCGCATGCGTGATGGTGACTGTGTGAACTCAGTCCAGCCTGTGCTTTATTCGAACTTCAAACCTTTTGAAGGAATTTCTCAAACAAACGGAAAACTCAAACCTCGTATTCATATCAAGGAACTGGTTCCATGTGGCTGTGCTGGCCTCCAGCTTGTTGTCAATGTTAATGGATAGAATTTCTTGCCTTCAACCTTCTTTCCCCTGGTGGCATTTACACTAGTGACTGACTTAACTTTACCTGACACTCCTGTCTTGACTTTTTCCCCCAACGTGTTTTTTTTATCTTCTTCCCGAAATGTTGGTGATTTCCGGACTCCTTTTCTCTCTTCTGAATCCACACACTGTCCTCTGGAGAATGTTGACAAAGCCTTTAACTGCTTGTAGTTGGAGCACCCTAGGGCTCTGTCCTTGGCCCACAGATCTTCTGACACCACACTTTCTCAGGGTGACTTCATCCACACTCATTATTTTAATTATTGTTTGTAAAATGATGACACCCAAATATTTATTTGCAGCCCAGATGTCTCGCAAGCCTTATTGATAATGAATTTATATGCACGCACATGTTTAGAAACTGATTGTGTCCCAGAGACACCTCACACTATAGACTTAAGAAAGGTAGCATGATCTTTTCTCTTCTATTCCATCTAGACTTTATTCTTTTTTGTTTCCTCCTGTAATGTGAACTGGGAGTCCTGTGTTGTTGATTGCCTTCGAGTTGGAACTGACCCTTATTTGACCCTTCAGCGTGTTTTCATAGGAGGAGGATTGCCCATCCTTCTCTCACCTAGCGTGGATTCAAAGATGTCTTTAGGATTGCAGCACAGCTTCTTACCCATAAGCTATCAGAGCTCCTGTGTCTTAGTAGGGCTTAATGGTTTGAGCTAATGTGAATCCACTAGCCACTCTGCTAGGAGAAAAATGAGGCAGTGTCCTTTGGAAGGGATTTTTGGGATGATGGTCAAATTCCACTTATTTCTTTCATTTTTGTTGTCAGTGCTTTTCATTTGCTTGTTATATATAATATTATATTGTGCCTTTTACTTTATTTTTTATTATAGGTTTATTTTTTTATTGCAGACTCTCTTTTTTAAATTTTTTTAATTTAATTTTATTATTTTTTTTGTGTGTGTACCGTCAAATTGGATCTGACTGGTACAGGAGGAGATTGTCCCTCCTTCTCCAGCAGAGCGTCTGGTGAATTCGAACCGTGTACCTCTGTGATTGCAGTGCAGCTTCTTGCCACTAGCCCACCAGAGCTCACCTGCAGATTCTCTTTTTATTGCTTGTAATTTCCTTATTATATATTGCCTTTCCCTTCATCCATCTTAATTTGCCTCCTTTATTTTCTAATTTTTACTCCTTTCCATTCCTTCTCATCCCACCATGAATTGATTACAATTAAAAAATGTTTATATGTAAACCTCTTTTTATTTATTATTATTATTATTAATTATTATGATTATTAATTATTATTTGTGTGTGTGTAACGTCAAATTGGATCTGACTGGTACAGGAGGAGATTGTCCCTCCTTCTTCAGCAGAGCATCTGGTGGACTTGAACCACGTGCCTCTGGGATTGCAGTTCAGCTTCTTGCCACTAGTCCACCAGAGCTCTCCCTCTTTTTTAACTTAATAGTGGACTCATATGTTTGTCTTTTTGTGATGTTTTTCACTCAGCATAATATCTTTTTAAAATTGCACTGCTAATTGAAAAGTTTGACAATGAGTAAGGATGATAGAAGAATCAATTAATTTGAGTTGTAGTATTGAAGAAGAATACTGAATGTCCTAGGGACTACCAAAAGAGCAAACAAATATGTTATGGAGAAGGTGCAACCAGAATGGTCCTTAGGCAAGGGTGGTGACACTTCATCTCACGTATTTTGAGCATGTTGTTAGTAGGGGCAGCAGGCTTGGAAAGGTGGAGGGTCACCGAGAGAGGATTGACACAATGACTATAACAATGCATTCAAGTATACCGGAGAGGATGAAGACAGGGCAAGGTTCAAATCTATTGTTCATAGTTGCTATGAGTTGTAGTCAACTTGACACCATTGCTTAACAACAGCAATAACCAATAATTTTGAGCAGATTCTAATGTGTTTGTTGGTCATCTGAATGTCTTCTATGTTTTTTCATATCCTCTGCTTATTTTGGGATTGGATTGTTTGCCTTTCTCTTGTTGAAGTACTGAAGTCTCCTATGAATTGTAAATTGTAGTGATGAGCTGCTTGCCAGCTATGTTACTGCCAAGTAGTTTTCCTGATCTGTTGATTCTCTTTTTACTTCTTTGAAGACGAATTTGGATGCACACAAAGATTTAATTTTTAGAAGACCTCTCACTTGTCTAGCTTATTCTCTGCTGTATGTGTATTTTTTTGTTATATTTGATAATCTACTTATGCCATAGATTGTTGTTGTTGTCTCTATTTTTTTAATGATCTTCATAGTTTTAGGTTTTATACTTAGGCCCTTGATCTAGCTTAAGCTACTTTTTACATATGATGTAAGGTATGAATCTTGTTACATTTTTAGTAAATGACCACCTAGCTTTCCCAGTACTATTTGTTAACGAGGCTGTATTTTACTCACACAATGGATTTCAGTTCATTGTCAAAGATCAGCAATCTGTAGTTAGATGAATTTACTCTTGGTTCTCAATTCTGCTCCACTGGTCTATATGCGTGTTGTTGCATGGATGCCAGACTGATTTTTTTTTTTTACACCATAGGTCTCATATATTTATTGAAAAATGTGGGTGCATAAAAACACGTGTTCCATGGAAAATTATCAGATTGTGATGCAATTTTAAACTTAAGATGGTAGCATGTCAGTCAACTTTGCGTGGTGCAGTGCTAATGAACCTAGGTTCATTACATGTCCTGCCATTATGTGTGTGACTTCTTAGATACCCAGCATGGTTCTGCTCCAATGTCTCCTCTTGGAGGTGTACCTGATTTTAGTTCCAGTTTTCATTCAAATCCATTGAGGAATGGAGTGGTTCTGTTTTTTATTACTTGGCCAGGAATCTACTGATCTTGAAAGTCCTATGAGAAGGCATATTGGAGACAAAACAAGACCACACAAAACACGATGGTGGAGGAAAATAAAGAGTGCCAGGCTGTTTTGATCACCAGAGTTATGAAGTAGATTTTGAGACAAGGAAATGTAAACCTTACTATTTTGTTTTTCTTTTCTGTAAAATTTACAGCTTCAAAATAACCAGTGGAGGGGCACAGAGTCAGAATTTACTTGATGCTAATGAGTTGGTTTTGGTTGGTTGGCTGTTTTTTTGTGATGCAGTTGACTTGACTGCCAATCAAAACGTTGGTATGGTAAAGTAGATTTATTGTTCAAAATTACTTTCCTAGGCCATTGCCTTTGACCTTGCTACATGGCTGAGTGGAGAATACAAATAAATTGTGTAAACTACTGATCATGCAATTGCCATCAATGCCATCAAGCCAGGTTTAAATAGAGTAGATTTAGCAGCAGAATGTGGGGAATCTCACTGACATTAACAAAGAGGCAGCAGTAAACGCAGCATAAATTCTTGGTGCCAAAGAATTCTGTACCAGTCAGACCAGTGCCGAGACCAGAGTAGTAGCTGCAGCAACAGCAGTGGACAATCAGAAACCAATGTGAGACAGAGTTGACTTGTAACTGCCACCTCATGGAGCCAGAAATGGGACTTCCCAAGCTAGAGGACTGAGAAAGTGAGGAGATACCATAGTTGTCAGGACTAAATAAGCTTTGTAACACTAACCTAAAACTGAAAGACTGAACATCAGAAGGTCTGTGAACACACTTGAGAAACTGGTCTGCCTGAGGAATTGTATTCTGTTTACAACCTGAATTGTAATCGAGTAAGTTCTTTAATAAACCTCATAACCGTGAGTATGGCTCTATGGGCCCATTGCAATGATTTGCGGATGTAGTGGTAGAGTATCAGAAGGGGTGGTTGGTGTTATAATTAGTAAAAGTAGGTGCAAGAGCATGGAGAGCGAGCATAGCTGATGTCATAGAAATTGGTTTTGTATTGTGGCTGTTGTTGTTAAGGGAAATCCACTTCCTGGAGTTAGTGGAGGTCATACAAGACTGCCTCCATGCCAGCCACACTTTTTTAAAGGTGGCATTCAAGCCTACTGGATGCTCTGTGGAAAAAAAAAAGTGGAAGTCTGCTTATACCCTTAGAAAACTCATGGGACAGTTCTACTGTCTATGGGTTTGCTATTGAATCAGAATTAGACTCAACAGCAATATAGATTACAGTACTGAATTACACTATTCCCTCTCCATTTCTCATTGTGATTGTTGTTAACTGGAGTAGAACTGACCTTCTACTCATGACATCCCCATTCACAATGAGATCAGATAATTGTGATTCATGGGGGTTTTACTGGCTGATTTTTGGCAGTATATTGCCAGGCTTTTCTTCCTGTCTTTCTTCATCTGGAAACTCATTGAAGCTTGTTCAGTGTCATAGCAACAGATGCTTGAGATATATTGGCTAGAAATAAGACACAAATCTTCTACATGGAAGGAAAGTATTCTACCAATAAGCCACCTCTGTCTTCTGACATTTCCATAATATTTGGCAAATATTTTTTCCATTCCCACTGCCACTAAATGTTCAAGCTCCTAATTTCTTTCTTGGATTGTTTAAAGTCCTTCCACTGTTCTCTTTCTCTATCTTGTCTTCTTTATTATAAAATATCTCTGTGTTGTTGCTGGATGAACCTTTAAAAGACAGACATGAACAACCAAAATACCATCCTAGATTTGATCACATGACATCTCGGTCTAAAGCCTTCCTTGGCTATTGACAGCTTTTTAGGATAGAGTTTGAGTCTTTCACCTTTGTCCTGTCCACACCTCTGGTCTCCGTCCAGTGAAAAATCCTTCATGCCATCTCTTTAGAACTACTTGTAGTTCCTGAACATGTTAACCTGTTTCCTCTACTTAAAGACTCTTCTTCCTCCACATGCTCCTTTTCCAGATAACTTCTACTCATGTGACCTCCATGAAATTCTCAAAAACTGTCTCATTTAGACTTGATTGTCCTTAGTTTGCCTCTAGTTGCAATACTGAGAGATGCTATGGGCTCAATCTTGAATGATCTAGGAAGCAGGAAAATAAGATGGAAGGAATGCACAGAATAACTGTACTAAAAATAATTAGTCGGCACGGAAAAATTTCAGAAAATACCATATGAGCAAGAATCAATGATAATGAAGGACGAAGTTCAAGCTACACTGAAGGCACTAGCAAAAAAATTAGGAAATTGATGGAATACCAAATGACATGTTTCAACTAACAGATGCAGCCCTAAATGTGCTCATCAGTTTATGCCAGGAAAGTTGAGTGGTTTTTTTTGTTTTTCAAAGATTGATTTTTTAAAGTTTTTTTTAAAAATTTCATTATTTTGTGTGTGTGTGTGTGTACCATCAAATCAGATCTGACAGGTACAGGAGGAGATTGTTCCTCCTTCTCCAGCAGAGCATCTGGTGGATTTGAACTCTGCACCTCTGGGATTGTAGTACACCTCCTTGCCACTAGGCCACCAGAGCTCGCCAAAGATTGATTTTTTAAAATTGTGATTTTTATGCAACTTTACAGAAAAGTTAGATTTTCATTCATTCATTGTTACTAATTTTCCTCCGTATGCCTCCCACCACTTAAAAAAAAAGATTCCTTCATTGTTGCATAATTTCCTCTCTTCACCCACCACGCCCCCAATCCACTTTGCAAAGCACTTTTTATTCTGTACTGTTGTCATATATCCCTTTTAAACAGTTATTTCCTTCATCTATTCCAATGCAATATTCATTATTTATCCTCTCTTTTCTTAGTTTCCCCCAACCTCCATGTCAGTCCTGTTTTATAACAGCGATGTTATGCAGTATTTGTCCTTTTGTGACTGATATATTTCACACAGCATAATATCCTCCAAGGTCACCCCTGCGGTGTAATATTTTATGAGTTCCTTGTTTTTCAGTACAGTACAGTATTCTATTGTGTGAATATGTCATGGCTTTTCAATCTATTCATTTGTTGATGGGCACTTGAGTTGCTTTCATATCTTTATTATTGAGAATAACAGAGCAATAAATATGGGTGTGCATATCTGTTTGGGTGGCAATTCTGATTTCTTTAGGGTATATTCCTAGTAGTAGAATTGCTGGATATTTCTATCTCCAACTTTTTGAGAAAGCACCATACTGCCTACCATAGTGGTTGTACCATTTTACACTCCCACCAGCAGTAAATAAAGGTTCCAATCTCTCCAGGACCTCGCCAGCATTTGTTGTTTGCTACTCTGTGGAACTTTCTATTGTTACTGGGGTGAGATGTGATATAGTTATTTTGATTTGCATCTCTCTGAGAGCTAGGGATTTTGAACATTTCTTCATGTATTTGGTTGCCATCTGAATGTCTTCTTTGGTGATGAAGTGTCTATTCATATCCTGTGCCCATTTTGCAAGTGGGCTGTTTACCTTTTCCTTGTTGAGGTGCTGGAGCCGTGTATAAATTTTAGATATGAGAACCTTATCAGATATATTATTACCAAATATTTTTTCTCTGTATATGGGTTTCCTTTTTACCCTGTTGGAGAAGGTTTTTTTTATTTCATTTTTAATCTTTTTTAAAAATTATTTCTTGTGTGTATTGTCAAACCAGATCTGACTGGTACAGGAGGAGATTTTTCTTCCTTCAGCAAAGCATCTGATGGATTCAAACCATGAACCTCTTGCAGTGCAGCTTCTTGCCACTAGGCCACCAGAGCTTGCTGGAGAAGTTTTTTTTTGATGTGCACAGGGATTTGATTGTTAGAAGGTCCTATTCTTCTATTTTATTCTCTCCTGGTTGCATATTTTTCCAAGATGTTTGGAATACTGTTCATATTGTGGATTAGGGCTTCTAGAGTCCTTCCAAGCTTTTTTCTGATGAAGTTTATAGTCCTTGGTTTTAGTCCTAGGTCCTTGATCCACTTTGAATTGGTTTTTGTGTACAGAGTAAGGTGTGGATCTTGCTTGAGTTTCTGCAGATGGTTTTCCAATATTTCCAACATAATTTCTTAAAGATGCTTTTGTTCTGCTTTTTCTACGAAGATGGTGCTGAAAGCGAAGAAGGAAGCCCCTGCACCCCCCCAAAACAGAAGCCAAAGCAAAGGCACTAAAGGCCAAGAAGGCAGTCCTGAAGGGCATCCACAGCCAATACATACATACATACATAAATGCATACATACATAAATACATACATACATAAATACATAAATAAATAAGAAGATCCGCATGTCACCCACCTTCTGGCGGCCTAAGATGCTGAGACTCTGAAGGCAGTCCAAATATCCCCGGAAGAGCACCCCCAGGAGAAACAAGCTTGACCACTATGCCATCATCAAATTTCCCTGGACCACTGAGTCAGCCATGAAGAAGATAGAAGACAACAACACACTTTTGTTCATTGTGGATGTCAAGACCAACAAACACCAAATTAAACAAGCTGTAAAAAAGCTGTATGACATTGATGTGGCTAAGGTCAACACTTTGATTAGGCCTGATGGAGAGAAGAAGGCCTATGTTCGACTTGCTCCTGACTATGATGCTTTGGATGTTGCCAAAAAAATTGGGATCATCTAAACTGAGTCCAGCTGGCCAATTCTAAATACAGATTTTTCTCACCATGAACAAAAAGATGCTTTTGTTTCCCCACTTAACTGATTTCATCTCCTTGTCAAAAATCAGTTGAACATAGGTAGATGGGCTGATTTCTGGATTCTCAATTCTATTCCATTGATCTATGTGTGTCACTGTATCAGTACAACACTGTCTTGACCACCATGGCAGTTAGTAGGATTTGAGATCAGGGAGTGAGATGCCTCCTACCTTGTTTCTCTTTTTCAGTAGTGCTTTACTTATTTGGGATCTCTTTCCATTCCAGATGAAATTGGAGATTGCCTTTTCCATTTTGTTGAAGAATGGAATTGGTATTTTTATTGGGATTTATGCCAGGAAACTTGGAGGACAACTACCTGGCCACCTGACTGGAAGAGATCTGCATTTGTTCACATTCCTAAGAAAACTGATCAAACAGAAGGTGGAAACTATAAAACAATATCATTAATATCTCATGCAAGCAAAATATTGGTGAAGATCATTAAAAACGACTAGAACAAGAGGCTGACAGGGAAGTAGTGTACTGCCAAAGATAGTGCTTATTTCCTCAAACCTGCTGTAAGACCTTGAGGAGCTCCGGTGGCATAGTGTGTAGCATGCTGCACTTGGTTTTTGTTTGGTTTTTTGTTGTTGTTTTACATTTAACAAGTGTTTATTAAGTGCTTTCCATGTGCCTTATACTAATTTCTCATGTGTGTAAGGAAAACATGATCGTAGGAGAAATTATGCAACAACATATACACATATTTCCACTTCCAAAAGACCTTTGGCTCTATGAGATTACAGAAGGCAACTGGAAAAAAGGCTGCATTTTTCTTCACGTGGCAGGAAGAATACTTGCACTTGTTAAAACTCCGAGGGTTGACACAATGCTGTTGTGTGGCAAAGGACATGAAGAAGACCTCTGGGACAGGTGCTTGGATGTAGGTCCCATCAATCATAATATGCTGGTGATGGATTCATGCAGCTTCAACAAGGACTCTTCAGAAGATGTTATTGGATCATCCAGATTGGACTCCACCTCAAAGGTGGGCCTTTTTTCTAAAATAATTAAAGCAAGCAGCATCGCCAAGTTGTCGGTCATTCCCTTGGTCTGGTAAGTCACACCATTCGCAGGATTGCAGTCCTCAAAGCAGTGAAAGATGAAGTGGTGGCCGCAGTTCTGGTGGTAGACGTGTGGGTGGAGGAAATAGTCCAGTGGCATCAGGAACACATCCTTCATGTCATCAGGGTTAGGGTGGAGCTCCAAATCTTGGTCTACGAATCCCACAACAGGGTTGTCAAGATCTTTTTATCAAGAATATGTGGTACTAGGCAGCAGATGATCTCTACTTGATGGGGAAGCAGTCCTGTTTCCTCCAGGGTTTCCCTGAGAGCTCTGGCTTACCTCATCCACATCTCCTGGTTCACATTTTTCTCCAGAGAAGCAAACTTGTCCTGGAGATGTTCTTAGCTTCTCTGATGGGAGGGTGAATAACAGATGGAGTTTTCCTCCCTTAACCATCAGTAGTAAAATGACAGAACACTTGCTGGGCAGCAAGTGGGAAAACTTGGTTCCAATATCATGCTTTTTCAAGCGGGCTTTAGCATCATCTAGCCAGCTGTTTCTGGCTGGCTCCTGGTGAAGGTGTGCATGTGACATCAGCCCTACAAAGTTTGTTGACAAACTTGTTGAAGTGTCCTCCGAGGGGCTGCTGGCATGCTGCACTTCTAATGGAAAGTTCTGTGTTTCTAATCCACAATCTGCTCCAAGGGAGAAAGATGGAAAGTCTTTTCCTGTGAAGAGTTATAGCCACCAAACTTGATGGAAGGTTACTGTGAGTCACACTCAACTTGATAGTAGTGCCTTTGGGATTTATTGCAAACTCTGGTTTATGAGCAGACATAATCAATCAGATTGAAAATTCCTGGAGGAAATTGGTTGAGCTTTGCTACCTCTCTTAGTTATTTGGTAGTTTTTTGGATGAATGAACAAAACATCATATATAGTAAAGGACTGGCTTGGCTGATCCTGTCAGTGAATGTTGTTGACATGTAGAAATGTTGTTGTTGTTAGGTGCCATCAAGTAGAGTACGACTTATAGCGACCCTATGAACAAAAGGTCTGAACCTAGTCCTGTCCTGTGACATCCTCACACTTTATGACACACAAGAGCCCATTGCAGCAGTCACCGTGTCAATCCACCTGGTTGACAGGTCTTTCTCTCCTTTGCTGATCCTCCATCCTTCCCAACATCATGTCCCTCTCCAAGGAATAACACCTCCTAGCAACATGTCCAAAGTATATCAGGCAAAGCCTCATCATCTTTGCCTCCAAAAAGCACTCCAGCTGCACCATCTCCAAGACATATCTGTTCATTCTCTTGGCCGTCCATGGAATGTTCAGTGCTCTTCTCCAACACCACAGCTCAAAGGCATCAATTCTTTTTCTGTCATCCTTATTCATTGTCCAGCTCTCAGATGTATAGCTAGTAATTGGAAAGACCATGGCCTGAATCAGATGCACCTTAGTCCTCAAACTGGCATCACTACTCCTCAATAATTTGGAAGGGTCCTTAAATGCAGATTTTCCTGGTGCAGTGTGTCCCCTTATTTCCTAACTGCTCATACCAAGGATGTTAATTGTGGATCCAAGCAAGATGAAGCTGCTGACAGTTTCAATCACCCCTCCATCCATCATGACACTGCCTATTGGTCCAGTTGTAAGAATCTTTGTTTCCTTGATATTGAGATGCAATCCATACTGAAGGCTGCATTCTGCAACAAGTGCTTCAAGTCCTCCTCATTTTCAGCAAGTAAGATAATCAATTACTCATATGTAGAAATAAGAATGATGCATATGGCTTGGACCAGTTCAGAAAGGCTTCCTGGTGGAGTGCTTATGGGACTCAAAGTGGTCAGTGCATGTGTGTGAATGCATCCAAGACTGGATGACTGGATGAATGCATGGATGCTTGTGTTGTGTGATCATTGCTCTGTGTGTGTGTGTGTGTGTGTTTATGACAGAGAAAGCGAGAAGAGTGAGAGAGAAGGAGAGAGAGAGAGAAAGAGAGAGAGAGAGAAGACGGAAGAGGGAAAAGGGAAAAGGGAAGAGAGAAGAGGAGAGAGACAGGCCTTTGTGAGAAATGTACACATCTGTGGCATGTATATGTCTATAACTCACATTGAGATAGTGTGGCTTTAAATCTTTGTATTTCATCCATATCTTCATTGAGCCCTGGAATTATATGTAAAATGCCTACGATGTCTTTTGTCCTTTCCTAGATCCTGTAACAAATTGCATGGGGGAAAAAGATTCTTCCTAGTCTCAGTGAAGAAAGGATGCATAGGAGCAACCCTTATGTGAGGTGTGCACAGCGCGTGCGCGCGCGCGCGCGCGCGCACACACACACACACACACACACACACACACACACACGATCATAAGTAGGACACAGGAAGGAGGAAGCAGAGTGGTTAAAAACGTGGATTCTGGAACCAGCCTGCCTGGGTGAAAAACCAGACATAATCACCAACAAGCTGTGTGACCTCGGGCATGTTACTCAATATACTATTACTTGCTTGGAAGGCTGAAGTGAAGATAAAATAATCTATGTAGAGTGCTTACTTAGATCAGCATCTGGCACTGAGTAAGGACTCAGTAAATGGTAATATTAATAGTGATGATACTGATGATTTCTAATCTTAATGCAAATCTGCAAGGAAACTTTGGCTCAGAAATATTAAGTGACTGTCTGAGGGCCACCCATGTAGTAATTGGCCAAAGAGAGCCGTGTCTGGTTTGGTGCAGCCGTCCCACCTCATCACCTTTTTCATGTGCGGCTGTTGCCACCTGCTCTGGCTCCCCGCTCTAGTGCACTTACGGGCATCCTGATACCTGGGAACACAGATGAGAATTTCCAGGTAGAAGCTTACATCATAGTCACTGAAGGAGGAAGGAAGGGTGTGGATGAAAGCTGAAACAGGCAGGAAGTATTTTTGAGTGATTAACAGTCTTAAAACTGGAAAATCTGAATCTAACAGGCATAAGAGAGGAAGTGCATCTCAAACATATCTGCCTCTGAGAGGCTAGAGCCTCAGTTTTGGGAAGAAGGGAATGGACAGGCATTTTAGGTATGTATGATATCATGACTGGGAGAGATAATGCCAGACAGACTTACCTGCTGGCACAGAAAAGCTGATTCATCTGTCTTTGGAGATAAGAACAGTGGAGATGAAGACAAGCCTCTTGCTTTAAGACGAAAGGAGCTGCCAGGAGTTATATTTGGCTTTCTGTGTGGGAGAAGTAGGAGCCATGCAGGTGACAGAAGCCATATCTGACAGAGGGAGTTTACTGCTCTTGATGCAGGAATGCAATACGCAGTGATTGAGTATCTACTAAGCCCTGACTATTTAATATGCCCAACAACTATGTGAAGTAGGTATTATTATCCATATTTTGCAGTTGGAGATAATATATATTCATGGAGGTTCACAATGGCTAAGTAGCTTCCCCAAGGTCACACGACTTGGGCTAGAAGTCAAACCAAAGCTTGTCTGTCTGGTCACTACAAAGGTAAGAGTGACCAGTGTGAGTGGCTCATTCTTGAGCTTCTTAAAACCCAGAATCCTGGTGTCACTTGCCATTGACTATCTCTCTGCCAATCCCTTTCTCTCCTTACACACACATACACACACACTCAAAATGTTGAAGATTCTGAAGGATTAATCCCTGAAGAAGAACACCATATTTGACAAAATAGAGGGTCAGTTGTAAAAAAGGAAGACTGTCATTGAGATGAGCTGACAGAGTGTCTGCAACAATGGGCCAACTGCAGCAACAATCGTACAGATGGTGTTGAACTTGACAATGTTTTATTCTGTTACACACAGGGTCACTATGAGTCAGAATTGACTAAATGGTGCCTTAACAAAAACAAGAATCTTGAGCCAATCACTGGTCAGAGGGAATTTAGAGGGAAGAAAGAGAATCAGGGTCCTATCAAAGCTCAATAGAAGTCATAGTCTGGAGGCAGGGAGAGCATGTATGATAGATACCAGACTATGGCTGAGCTAAGTGCAGAGTGTGACAATGCGTTCACTCATTCACTCGGCTGATGTTTACTGGACATCAAAACCGGGCCTAAAAATTTACTGGGTGCTCGGGCTACGATGCTGGATCAGGCAAACATGCTCACTGTCTTCTTACAGCTTATAGTTTAGGACTCCAAGAGAACTTTTCGTGATGATTGTGTAAATAATCAGTACCTGTGCTTTCCAGGATGGTAGGGTCTGGATTTTGGGAAGAGGGGCCAGAAAGGGCATTTTGGGGTTTTACAATGATGTGAAGTTGGGAGAGATAGTTGACACAGAGAAGCCACTACATTTGTCTATTGAACACTTAAAACATGACTAGTGAAGTGAAGGAAATGAGTATTTTATTTTATTTACATTTAATTAAATTTAAATTTAATTTACATATGGCTTGTGGTTATTTTTGGGCAGGGCATATCTAGAGGGTGAGACAGACCTGTCAAACTATAAACTAGACTAGAATGGGCCCTCAGGGGAACAGGAAACTCAGGCAGATTTAAGAGGGGTTTGCTCTTGCCCTGGTAATGTGGAATGGTATACAATATTGTTCTTACCCTATCCTTTTTTTTCGCCTTCCTGTTTAAAGATTGACAATGAAGCATAACATATTATTTAACATATGTGCTACCTTTGAGTAGGCGTGTTGAAGAGTATTGCATATACCATAGGCTGCCAAAAGAACAAACAAATGTGTCTTGGATTTACTCTGGAAATACAAACGCATTTTAGAAGAAAATATGATGAGACTTTGTCTCACAAACTTTGGGAATGTTATCAGAAAGGCCCAGTCCCTAGAGAAAGACAATGATGCTTGATAAAGTAGAGGGTCAGGGAAAAAGAGCAAGACCCTTAGGAAGACAGATTGACAGTGGCAGTCTAAATTGTGAGGGTGGTCCAGGATTTGGTAGCACTTTATTTTGTTGTTAATAGGGTTACTTTGAGTCAAAGGCAGCTCAATAGCACCTAAAACCAACCAGAAGCCGTTGTAATGAGAAGGGGATTAGTAATGTACTACAAAGAGTTGAGGTGAACTCAGAGGGAAAAGCAGTTACAGTCAAACTGGTTCTAACTTGTAGAGGTCCCATGTGTCAGAACATAATTGTATTCTTTGGTGTTTTCAAGGCAGGGAGCTGTGGAAAGCAGCCTACCAGCCTTTTTTTCTGAGACATTGGTAGGTGGATTTGAACCACCATGACTTTTTGGTTTGTACCCAAATGTTTAACTGCTTGTATTGCTCAGGTACTCCAGAAATGTGGGAAAGTAAGATAGAAAACCCCATTTTCAAGAGTATTTCAGTAATATCTGGAATCCAGGGGCCCTGTCCCTCATGGACTTGCCTGGAGGTGGGAGTAGGAACCATAGGCAGATCTTGGCAGAAGTACAGGGATTCAGGGACAGTGGTGATTTTGAGGTAAACTCTAAGATTGAAAAGCTGAAGAACTTGAGAGTTTTGGGGGCCGGTTGTTGTTGTTGTTGTTAAGTGCTCTTGAGTCGACTGTGACTCATAGTGACCCTATGAACAATGCATCTGAACCCTGACCTGTCCTGTGCCATTGTGGTTGCTGTTGA